CGCCCCTTCAATAAAACCGTTACGTAGTATCGCCCCCTTCACTTCAAAATTCCGATGTCGAGGACCAAGCCTAACGCTAAACTCGTCTGCATTGAATAGACTAGTGACTAGTGTAATGTTATTTGTTCAATTATTGTACGATATAACGAATAAAATATATAATTATTCTTAATATAATGTTTTACTATATCGCCCAGAAAATCGTTTTTCGCCCCCTCCAAAATATAAATTGTTACTAATCGCCCCCTCAACATGGAAAAACGCCCACATGGGGACGATATCGCCTCCGTTGAGAAACACTGGTGTAAACGAACCTAGACAAAACGTTGGCTATTACTTTCTTCGCTGTTACTCCCATCTCTCAGGAATCGTTTAAACAATCGGGTCATTCGTTTATGACGTCAGAAAAATGGCGACCGAGTTCGAAATTCGTCTTTGGAATAGATTTTTAAAGGATTATTTCAATCTGATATTACTCTCTCTCTCTCTCTCTCATCGTAATTGTCGAAATGAATAATTTTGTTGATTCGTCCGGTTTACAATATTTATTAAATGAACGATATCCATTATAACACAAACTTTGCGACCAACAAATAAATATGGCGACTTCTACTCAAGTAAAACGATGTGTAAACCAGCTATCAAGGAAGTCTGAAAAGTAGGTGAAATAACCTGTTTCTAATCGCTCTCTAAACTGTGGCAACCGAGAAACGCTGTCTCTGCAATAACATTTTTCTAAACCGCGGTCTAGATAATTTCTAAAGCTTCGTCGGGATCTAAACGTTGTCTTTGCAATCCGTTGATAGGGACTCTGTGCCTTCAAGTTAATGTTTAATTAATGAAAGTAAGTTTTGTCCATTATTTTAAACGATATTAGGACCCGCTTTACGCCATAAAATTTCAAAATTATCAAACATCAGAGAACTACAGCAATATCAATTTGATAATTTTGGAAAATTTAGAAAGGAGAACGAATATTTATCCAATACACGAAGGGTTTATCATGTTTTCTCATAATATTTTCAATCAGTTTGTACAAAAAAATTTTTGTGCAAACTTCATAATTGCATCTTAAAATCGAAAGATTATCTACATCATCGCATAAACCGCAACTTCAAACACACTGGCTATAAACACAGTAACAAATTACGATAATTAGATTATCTCGAAAACAAGTAACTAATAGAGCACATTTGTCAAGGTAACATACAATAAGACGATAAAAATAAAATTTGCAGATTTGAACAATAATTTTTTCATAACTTTTATTTCTTTATGTCTTGTAATCATTACATATTTTTATTTATTTATATTCGGTTTCTATGACTAATCCCACAATCTCATTACATCGCTTCCTTTAGTCTTTTCTTTAATTCTTTCTTCTAATCTCTCCTCCTGTTCCTTACTGAAGTAGTTACGCCAATCTCCTATTATACCTTTTCTAACGAATTGATCGTTACCCGCTTTACTAGCTGGCATATTTGGCACACTTTTCGAGAATTCGGCAATATGTTTCCACCCAGAAGATACTTTATCAGGATTTTCTCTTATGTAACCATTCATTGCTGCAAAATACTCATTAACGTGCTTCTTCATGTACTCGAAACTGCTGTAATATAAAACATCATCCAAAATTTTGAGGTTTTCTTTCAAATCTCTTTCGTATTCTTCGCCTAGGAATTTCGCGATATTCAGAACTTCTTCTTTCGTATTTCGTTTTACTTTTTCGTACGTCGTGAAGTAAACATTTTCGTCGTTTCTGTGTTCATACCAAGGAATTAAATGATCGAAATAATCGCCAAATTCTACTTCGCCTTTCAAAAACAATTCAAAGAAATCATCGAATGTCGCATCCTGAAAAAAATACAACGCAAAAGATTTTGTATGATGGTAAAAAGATACGCAACAATCTTTTGGATTTCTCGCAACGTAAATATATTTAGCGTGTGGATAAAATGGCGTTAAGTGAAAAGGTAAATGCAGCTTCAAGGCTCCTTTTGACGTCATGAGATCTACAACATCGGCACCTGCCATTTCGAGAAACGGCGTATTTATAAAAAAATCCAAAGCATTTTCGAATGGTTTTCCTTTTCTTAAAATTGACATGACGATGTGTTGCATCCACGTAGTTCCACATTTTGGGTACGTAACTATAAACAGATCGTTCGGTTTGGGTTTATAATTAATAGCAGATAAGAAAGCTTCTTCAGAGAAATTTCCTGCAATTTTAATCCCATTTATATCTTTATAGAAGGGAACCTTTCTTTCTGTCATCTTACTTGTTCCTAAAGAAAAAAAAACGTAATTAATATTATAAGAACTTCACATTAAATATTCAAAAAATTAATATATTTTAAATAAAAGAAAGTTTCTATTTCACTGTTCTTTTGCTTCGTATCTAGATTTAGCTTATTATGTCTTTATCGATTATTGGAACATTTATTATTAGACTACCTTGCTCTGGTACTATGAACAAAAATCACATTCTCAGTCAGTTTAACCCCAAGCGTAAAACATGCTATATGACCAGAATAACAACCCTTTATTACAATATTTTTCCGTGAAAAAATATGGTATGAGAGTGTATTATAAAATCGAAATAATATTGCACAAGGCATCATGTGCTGTTGGTAAAATGCAACTGTTGGCATTGGATGCAAAACCGTTTAGTATGCTCTTCGCACACAAACTTACTGCACTCGTTATAAACTAATTTAGTTTTCTTGTCACTTGACCTGGGACAATTATAGCATTTCTTGAGTTGATTTGGATGAAGCTGTGCAGTGCTTGCGGCTGGTGTGGGTACTTCTGGTATAATGCCGCAACTGCGAATTACCTGATTGACATCTGCTGCACTTCCAATCGTTGACATTCGTGTGTAATAATCAAAGCAAAAGCTAATTCTTTCAAGAACTTTGGTTGATTGTCTTTCTTATGTTCTCCAATGTTTGGCACATTTTCACTGTCGAAGTTACTTAGCTCACCTAAACACTCACTGCAGAACATATTCGTGAGAAAGTCCCCGTCGTGTCGTCATATTTTTATGCCACGCACGTCAAACACCCTTGAAATATGGAAAAAGTACCTTTATCACATTGAAGGTACTATGAGGTAAATTTGTCCCTATTCGAAAATACAACTGAATAAAAATAAGCAGAGATTTTGAAACTATCGAACATGTTTCACATACTTAGGAATACCTTACGAGAATATACGTGGCAGGCGAGGTCACTTATCGACTAAAAGACATGGTTTAAAGAGAGCTGGGGTCAAATCGACCCCAATTGTACCAGAGCGGGGCTAGTCTAAACTTAATTTCAGGGAAACGAGGGGAGAATGATTAGATAAAATACTCCGGATCCAGGATACACAGTGGCCCTGTAATCATTCCGCAATTTGTGTTTTTACTCGCTAATCAAAGATGGTATTGAAAATAGGGTCCATAGTGGGGGAAGAAGTTGTCCCAACCTTATAGGCCTAACTAAAAATGCATGGAAAATTGGGATTTTACTTGCGGCCCACGTTAATTTTATCCCGTGACTCTTTCCCCCGTTCACTCGACCGTTGTGGCAAGTTTAGTAATAAGGCATAATAGCCAATCAAGAAATGAAAATATTTGTTCATAATATAATGCTTCTTTAACTATTGTCAATCCATTGGTAGAAACTGATCATACAAAGATTAAAATTAATAAAAGTTAAAAGTACAATAATTCACGGTTAAAATACGAATAGTAATACAATTGGTAGGATTACAATAATTATTTCCTTTAAACCCCAAAACGAACATTTAAAAGAAGAACAAATAGATAAAATGATTTTATATAATCCTTTCACTTATATGACAAGTATTATACGTAATTATTATCACAAAATGTACAAGAATCTAACATTTTCAGCCCTCTTATGTAATAATATTTTTCTGCACAAAAATAAAAAATAACGTGTGACGAAAAGATAAGCTCATACTATAAAATATCACAGTTGAATATATTTGTAAGAATCTCTTGCACAACTCAATTCACAGATGCGATAATCCCGAAGTATTTCTTCCCATTAATTAATAATTGCCATCTGTGGTTCTTGTGTTGTTATAAATTGCTTTCCGTCGTTGTACACTTTACCAGAAAGCAATTACTAAAGATTTTCTACAGGATTTATATCAGGAGATATGCAAGAGTCTGAAAACATTTAATTTTCTTTGTGTGTATTTCATCATTGTCGTCACAAAACTGCCTTTTATTGCCTACGATTAATCGTCCAAACTGTGGAAAATGCTTTTTTTTAATAACTGAATGCATCATTCAGCATTGTGATGGACACTAATCTATACATATAACCCATTGAACGGGGTATCCGTCCGCGTAACGGTATGTAAAAAACGGGCACTAGAGGCGCCCTAGCGATGATTTTAAATTAACAATAAATTATTTTTATTTGTAATAGGAATTTATTATTTATACCACGGAATGGTATAAATAATTATTATATGACTTGCCTTGCCTTATTATATGCCTCGATTAACCTTGCGCCGCACGTTTACAACATCCCGTGACTCGGTGAACGTCGCTCATTGACTCACGGGAAATTTATTGAAAAAATGGCAGATACGTTTAAAATCCAGGTTTACAAGCGAAGGTAAATAAACAAATTAAAATATTTTTAAGTATTTATAGAAAGTTTAGGTTGAAATATAGATCCGTATGACGCGATTGGGACGGTAAGATTCACCCTCCAAATGAAGGGGCGGCGACCCCCTCTGTGCGAACAATGAACCATACCCCTACGCGCGACCCTTCCCGAGATATAGGCCTCCGAAAATTATTCTACGGGTTACGTGACCGCCTGTTTGCCACAATTTACCCAGCAAATGAGCGGGTCGGCGACCCCTCCCGAGTGTGCGTTAATTTTTTTTTCGCGCAGTAGACTCCCTTCTGACCACGGTGTCACATGACCGGAAATGACGTGACCGGAAATTTTTAGGGGATTATATCTCGCGAAAGGTAGCGAGTAAGGGTATGATTTCTTTGACTTTATTGTTCGCACAGGGGGGCTACAGTTTGGGGGTCGCCACTCCTTCATTCGGAGGGTAAATCTTACCATTGGGACTTTAAGGGAGCTGTAGAGCATATTGATAGGAACAAAAAAGTTAAAGGAACCGTGCCTAATGGAAATTTGTAAAGAATGTCCACTACGGGGCGTCCCGGGCTACTATTAATTTCTAGATCACTCTCTTGTATCCTGTTGAACTTATATCATAACTGATCCACATCCCATTTGTTTTCTGGACAAAATTTTTCTTTCTTCGTTAAGTCACGAAAATAATAATCAATGTCATCTGGCCCATCCAGGTTAATTTTTTTATCGTCGAATGTAATATTTTGCCACCGAGTATTATAAGATGTGTTGTCTGCAAGATCCAAACGCGCATCCTTTGCCGTGGCAGTAGTCTTGGATCGCACTTGATTTTCTTTATACTAAAGTTGGAATTGGACTTCAATAGGCTGGACATTTCTAACATTCATTTCCTCGCCTCTTTCAGCAGCTATTTTCTGAGCAGACCTTTAGAAATTAGATGCACATCTTGGGGCGGATCTAGGTTTTTACGGGCCTAGGGTTTATTCAAATTTAATAGGACCCAATTTTTACCGTTTTTACCAAGCCTAACCTATTAACTAAGGATGCACCGATAAGCAAGATGGCCGATTACCGATTAATCGGCCAAACTATAATCACAGTTAATAAAAATATTGTCACACATTTTAATCATTCTACTGTAGCTGTAAGCAAATTGGAAAATTTGCGAGAAAAGTTAGGTTTGCAGAAACACAAACAAAATCTTAATAAGAATTAAATTCTGAAGCTTCTCCTTCTGCAGATTATCAAGATGGAGGTAAATCTCTAAGTTTTTCCGATTTATTTGATGAATTAGCTTCTGTTAAACGAAAGAATAGCGTGTTTCTAAAAAGAAAGAAACGAACAAACGTTTCGATCAAGAATTAGAAAGATATTTATATTTACCCCTTAAACAAAGACACAGTGACCTATTTTTGTGGTGGAGAAGTTCAAAAGAACTTTTTCCTAATTTGATGAAAATAGCTATAAAATATTTAAGTGCCCCAGCATCTTCCATTGAAATTAAAGAAATGTTCAGCATTAAAGGTAACATTTATGAGCAGGCAAGACATAGGTTATGCCCTGAAAATGGTGAAATTCTCATGTTTTTGCATTACAATTTAATGGTTTTACAGAAATATATAACAGAAATTTATTATTTCTTATTACTAGCATTATACGTAACATTCTAACAAAATTGGCCGATTATCAAAACCGATTAATCGGGGAAATGGCCGATAAGGCCGATTACCGATTACCTACCGATTAATCGTGGCATCCTTACTATTAACTATTTTTTGCTATACGATAAGTGCTCATTGTTAATAAAAAAGTATTAAAAATTTATGATAATTTAATTTTTGTGGGCCCTTGACACTTGGGGGCCCAGAGTTTAATTAAACATTAAAGATGTTTAATTATAATAAGTTATTGGAAATATTCGTATTAAGTGTTTACTTACCGTGTTAACGTTTCTTAGCTTGCAGCTTCTCGATAAACGACTTGTAGTGTGATGTACAACAGCCTTTTTATTAAATCAAAGGCCAAGTAATAGTGCAAAGTCCGTCAAGTGGTGCCATCTTTTATAACAATCTGCATGTATTTAAATATAAATGTAAGATAACATAAAATATTTAACCTATATACATTAATTTTCAGTTATTAAGTATATTAAGTTTTAAGTTCCTTCGTCTACATTTAATTTTATGCGGTCAAATGCGATTTAAATGTAAAATATATCGTTTCTTCGGGTGCGTACTAAGTTTATGAAAAGAATAGAAAACACTGGAAAATTTGTCACCGATAAAATTATTTATTTTTTAAATTTCTTTTAATTTTAACAACAGGTGCTGTTCTCGCACCCATTGTTAACAAGTTAAAGAAACCTTTGGGACGAACGGTACCAACTATATTTATATATTATTATATACTTAGTATATGTAACACTGGCTGCACAGCTTTCCTCAACAGTCTACATGCGGGCAGCAGCTCGAATCATGTACGACAACGCATGTATCCTTAATATGCCCACGAGTGCCATCATCGTCGTGCCTCATCGTTCATTGGATTATAGGGCTGCGGCTTCGTTTCGGCCCTGTAGTGAATCTCCCACTTTATCGACCGACTAGCTCCGCATAACTTACTGTGTATATGCAACGAGCAGTTAATGCTGTATATACGATAAAAGGAATACCAGAAACAGTGGCAACGAGAATCGATGAATTTTTAGGAAATTTTTGTTTCTTTCCCTCGTGATTTTCTTGTGTCGCCTTTTAGTTTGTTATCTGTCACCACAAATTCCTTACGTTAAGGTCTACAGGTTTATGGATTGCGAAGTTTATTGCGTATTTATGTGTATGTAAGGTTGTTAACAGTGTGGTGTATGTTCCGTGTACAATCGAAATGTTCTTAATCCTACAAAACTGGTCCGTGTATTTCTTATGCTGATGCAACACGTATGTGATCTGAAGACTAAAATATTAAAAGCTGCCACCTTGTATTGCAATGGATCGTTTGAAGAGGTAGGAGAAGTAGGACTGACAGTTTTAGGTAAAATTTTGTACATATCCATCCCCTTTAGAGTCTTAAATCTAAGTCAAGAAAGTGTGCTTTGCTACCATTAGTGCGGTCGAGTGTTACCTTGAACCTGAAAGGATTTTTTGGCGAATTTTTCAATATCTGATTTGATAAAATACTAAAAAAAGTAATTTTATTTCTCATTTCTCAGCCAAGGTGAACCTATAACATTGCAAAAGCAGACATTTCTTGCAGGTGCAAATAACTGCAGGATAATATTAATAGTAATAAACTTTTAACACTGATATTGACTGAATATAGCCCTCATAATCGATCTTCTGGTCAGTAACATAATATTTAATAACTGATTCGCAAATTTACCAGATTTCTACACACAAGAGATATAATATTATCAATTAAAGCGAGAATGTAACAAGGGAGAGAACAAAACAAAAAATATTCACGTAATAAATAACCATCCAGAAAGACAGACAGTATTTTCCCGAACCCGGAGAACACATTTGGTCTTTCTCCCTACAAAAAAAAAAAAATATTATTTTTACTCAAATAATATATGCAAAAGTTACTTCTCCGTGTTTTAAATCAAATTCTGACCCGCTTTACCCCGTTAATTTTGAAAATTATCAAAGATAAAATCAAAGAAATGGCAATTTAATAATTTTTAAAAATTAGAACGAAGAATGAATATGTATCCAATACCCGAAGGGTTTTTCGTGTTTTCTCAACACATCTTTAGTTAGTTTATACAAAGAAAACTTTTCGTGAGTAATTCATAATTACAACTTAAAATCGAAAGATTAGTCTACCAGCATCATCGCATACACTGCAACCTCTTACACACTGGCTATAACCCGAAGGCAATGTATAACTAGCTATTTGTTACAGATAACTCAAAGACAATTAGTAACAAATTATAGTAATTAAAATATCTTGGAAACAAGGACACAGCACATTTGTCAAGGTAATATAGAATAAGACAATAAAAATAAGATTTACAGATTTCAACAACATTTTTTCATAACCTTTATTTATTTACTACTTATAATCATTATATTTTTTTTTTATTTATATTCGGTTTTTATGACTAATCCCACAATTTCATTACATCGCTTCCTTTAGTCTTTTCTTTAATTCTTTCTTCTAATCTCTCCTCCTGTTCCTTACTGAAGTAGTTACGCCAATCTCCTATTATACCTTTTCTAACGAATTTGTCATTACCCGCTTTACTAGCTGGCATATTTAACACACTTTTCGAGAATTCGGCAATATGTTTCCACCCAGAAGATACTTTATCAGGATTTTCTCTTATGTAACCACTCATTGTTGCGTAATACTCATTAACGTGCTTCTTCATGTACTCGAAACTACTGTAATGTAGAACATCATCTAAAATTTTCGGGTTTTCTTTCAAATCTCTTTCGTATTCTTCGCCTAGAAATTTTACGATATTCAGAACTTCTTCTTTCGTATTTCGTTTTACTTTTTCGTACGTCGTGAAGTAAACATTTTCGTCGTTTCTGTGTTCATACCAGGGAATTAAATGATCGAAATAATCGCCAAATTCCACTTCGCCTCTCACAAAGATTTCAAAGAAATCATCGAATGTCGCATCTTTATAAAAATAAAATGCAAATTCTTTTGTATGATTGTAAAAGGACACGCAACAATCTTTGGGATTTCTAGCAACGTAAATATATTTAGCGTGTGGATAAAATGGCGTTAAGTGAAAAGGTAAATGCAACTTCAATGCTCCTTTTGACGTCATGAGATCTACAACATCGGCACCTGACCTTTCGAGAAACGGCGTGTTTATAAAAAAATCCAAAGCATTTTCGAACGGTTTTCCTTTTCTTAGAATTAGCATGACGATGTGTTGCATCCACGTAGTTCCACATTTTGGGTACGTAACTATAAACAGATCGTTGGGTTTTGGTTTATAATTAATAGCGGATAAGCAAGCTTCTTCTGAAAAAGCTCCTGGTATTTTCATTCCACTTACTTCTTTATAGAATGGAACTTTTCTTTCTGCCATTTTTCTTGTTCCTAAAAAAGAAAACATGATTAATATTATAAAAACATCACATTAAATAATCACAAAATTAATATATTTTAAATAAAACAATTTTCTATTTTATTTTTTTTTGCTTCGTATCTAGTTTTATCTAATGATGTCTTTTTCAAATATTGAGGACCTTATTACTTGACAAGTTTAGACTTACGAAATTGTCCCAACCTTGTAACTAAAAATGCATAGAAAATTGGGATTTTACTTGCGG